ATATTCCACTTAAAGCAATGTTATATCATAGGCGTACGCACGGGGTGGGTCGGGTGGCCCATGGCCCACCCTGCGAGCCGTACTATATCTGTTGTATATTATATTGTGATCTGATAATTTTTTTTTCATGAAACTTAAATAATACAATTACAAATTACAATTTTCAATAATAATAATTAATTAAATGCATTGAAAATTGAAAAAAATTGAATTGATTAAATATTTTAAAGTATCTCTTGAAGCATCTAAATCATAATTAAATTGGCCCACCCTCCCAAAAAGGTCTGCGCACGCCTATGGTTATATATATACCCGATTATATAATAATTATTTCGATAATTCAAACAAAAATTATTTGTATTTACAAAGTTATAAAGATAAAATAAGATTCAACCGATAGTAATTTTATATTGTACGTCGACAAACTGTGTGGAAAATACGAAGTTATTGTCATCTCAGTATTATAGGATACTTCAAACACCTAGAACACGTTTTTGCCATTATGAGTTTGGTGTATGTAAAAAGTGAAAAATAAATAAAAGTATGTTAGTAGGTAAGTTTATCGTTTATGAAAGGGTTTTTACACATACAAGAAAAAATATATGATGAAAAAACGTGTTGGAAATCCGAAAAAAAAACTGAAATGCAAAGGATGAGTTCATAAATCGACAAAAATTTGAACACTATAGGTTAGGGCGTTAGGTAATCTAGGTATATCTAGCATTAAACCTCCGAGGCTCCGAAAAAAAGAATACCAAAATAGAGTTAAAAGAGTTTAAAAATGTAGTAWTTAACTATATAATGATCTGAACATTTTTCAATTATCTAGGTGGAATAGCCTATAATTTTCAACTGCGAATTTAATTTCAAATTCAAACCAATTATTGAACTTATTTTTTTTAAATTTTTAGTTTTGCGAGCAATATTTTTTTGACCAAAAGTTTTCAAGCAATAGTCATTCAATAAATTGACGGGATACCAATATAAATCTGTTGGGTGAATAAGCTATATTATATAACATTGAAGAGATAAGGAGTTAGGCATTCATTTTAAATTGTATTATAATAATAAATTAATGATAGAATAATTCTTCTGCATATCTGCATCATATTATAACATTATATTRCATTAAAGTAAAACACACTGTGATGTATTTATAGATGATGAAACATGGGCATTTTAATTGGGTGGTGTTGAAAAGATCGAGAGGAGAGGGAAATAAATAACTCGCTGGAAACATGCGCTAGTAATCAGTCAGTCGGTGGCTGATCTTAACAGGCAATTGGCCAAAGATGAAACGAAAACGATGTGTTATTTAACGAACCGTCTCGTCCATTTGGGCTGTGTTACAGAAAGAACTGGAGAAAGAAATCAAAAAAGTGGCAGACAGACAGACAGAAATGGCCATGGACATTCAGACCATGCGAAAAGACATGGGTTCTGAGTTTGAGAAACAYAATTCCAATCAGATTACTTTCAAGAAACAGTTACAAGTAAAAACAATATGTGAACCGTAATTAAAGTTATTGAATGCTTGAAACGATCGACCATAAATAATCGACTATATGGACAATTAAAAATATTTTAATTATAATAAATTGTAAAAATGYCATTTTTTCATTACATAAACGTTTTAAAAATAAAAGCTCGTAAAAAAAAATCTATTTAAACGCATAGATCAACGGCGAAATGTCTAATATCTTAATATCTATAGATAATAACAAATATAACATACATTCTACGTTCAAAAACTAAATCATATTCTTTAGTCCTTTTTTAGACCAAGATTTATGAAGAATCTGGTACTAAATACCATGTATTAGAAGTAAATTTTTATTAGTTAAATGTATACTAATAAATTTAACTGCTTCAAAAGATGATGATACAAAAAATGATCAATAGCCAATAGGTACTAACATCATAATAAAACCAACGTACRTTTCCCCAGCCCCCCACATATCRCTTTTCCCAAATTTTCTTTTGCCAACATTTAGTACGTCATTTGTTTGTATTTGTTTGACCAAATTCAGAATTTGTTTGATCGCCAATCAATCATCAACCAATCAACCAAAAATGTTCAGTTTCTAAAGTGATTGTCATATTATATTATGTTCACATGTTTAGTGATATTTTTTTTTACAGGACACTGTTGCAAATTTATCTCACCACCAATCTAAAACCACTGACAGATCATTGAGTACCTGTTCGTGTAATCAAGACGGCGATTTCAGTCAAATACCGGAAACAATGACTGTTAACAAACTGGCCACAACGGTACCGTTATAATACTATATTAATTGTTATAAGAATGTTATAACTTAGTAAGCCAATAAAATATCTGTCTAATTATATATATATATTAACTACCTAGTATAAATAGAAATTTACAAATTCAAAATCACATAACTATAATGTAATAAATTACGTTGTTGTGGACAATTATTATTTATGATATTCCTTAGATAAGTAATATGTACAGTGGGCTTAAAGATCGTTCAGATCACATAAGCATCTCACTCAAGGAATTGGTTGAGAATACTGACAAGTATCGGCGGAGATTGGATTCTGATAGACGAGGCGTAATAAACGAGTTTTTGGACAGTAAGAATGAAAATTATTATCYATTATGCAATGAAGATTATAATAACAAGCTAAAAATAAATAACGTTTTAAATATTMATTTTGATSGACCATAATCATTTAAACACATTTTTCATAGGTTTCTTGGAAGCGGCCATCGACAAGATGACGGCGATTCAGAAAAAATCAGAAAACGAACTCGAAGCTAAGTTCAAAGAGCACTTGCAATTACTCGTAGATGGACAAAACTTGTTCATGGATAGTTGCCACCGGTTGCAATCAAACGAACGACAAATCGAGAACGATATGGTTGATATATTGGAAAGGATATTAGACCGTATTGATAACAAGTGAGAGGGGTTGAATTTTGTCTAATTATTTTTTATTATTTACTTAAAAAAATGGATAACGCAGGCGCAGATAAGAACGAATATTTTTTCTATCAATAACAGTCATTGTAATTTATAATAATATATTAAGAGGATGCAATGAAACTTCGAAACCAAGAAATAGTTTATGTCTATTTTATATTTTTTATTTTTTATACTTTAAATTTATAAAATGAGCATTTTGAAACATTAATATTAATAATATTTAACATCATTTTTTTTCATTTTTTTTTAAGTTTGTAGAGGTAAAAAAACACAAAAGTGTTATAGTTTTATAATTAATATAGGGAAATAACAATTTTATTGACAACAGACTTAAAATACGAACTTTTATCTTTAAGTACAGTGCTTTAAACAGGATTTTTCAGGTGGGGGGAGAGGGCTAGAACATTTTATTTCCAAGGCAAAGGGACTACCAATTAAAGTAGCTTTGATATTCCAGGGAGGTCCTCCTAGCACTCTTAGGGGCGTAAATGCGTAATAAACGTAGGTATTTCAAGTAAATAGAATTATGGAATGTAAATTATTCGTTGCAATCTTATCGGTACGTACCTAGGTAACATTTTATTCTGTCTCTCCTATTTTTTTTCTCAAACTGCAGAATATTTTCTCTTCACACGGCGCAAAATTTAAAACGACGCTTTTGTATTTTCAGGAGTAAGTCCGATATCATGACGTTGGAACAGATACCGAAAACTCTGAAGACCCAAAGCAGTCTAGAGGAAAAGTTGTTCGCTGAGCTTTCGGAGCTCGTCAAGACACAGTCGGACCAAGTGACCAGAACAGTAGCCTACTCCACCAACCAAGTGTTAAAGTTACACCAGGACGTGATGAACATTTCCAACGCGCTGATGGCAGTCAACAATGGCGGTGGATTTAGTAATTTCACCGTATCGACGACGGTAAGCTTTACATGATCGTTGTATAGCYATATTACCCGTATTATAAGTATATGACACTATGGTTATGGCACAAATCAAATAATATTTATTACACCAACCATTGATTTTTAATAAGTACTATATAGTATTAAATAATGATTATAATATACACTACGTGTCCTAAAACTATTATAGAACTATATAGGAGACGGATGACCAAAAAATAACTATAAAAGCGTATTAAACTCTTGCAAACAATGCTGATGAAATAATATAAAGTATAGGTATTTTACAATAGGTAGGTAGCGGCTCTAGAACTTGATGCTGGAAAAGGGGGCATTAACAAAACACACATTGAAAAAAAATATTTTATGATAAATGTAGTCAAATGCTTCAAAATCAGTCCCCCATATTACCCACATTAGTCATTAGTACTACATAATATTATACAAAATAGAACACAAGTCAATAAGATAAAAAAAATTACAAAGCAAGACAACAACAAATTACATTTTAAAATACAATATCAAATCTACGATTATTAATTTTTGCAAATCAATCTATGACTTGATCTATATATATGTGTATATGTTTCGATGAATGTGCATGAGACGTATTCCGAAAACGGTTTTGTAGACCATTTAAAACTAAATCTAAAATCGGTGTAGAAATTCTATAAAATACTTCTGGAATACATTCTGAAATGGTGTGATTTTTTCTATAAACTGAACTTTTTGCCCTTCGTGGTTTGATAATTTCAACATCTAATATTATGAATATCACTAAATCATATTTTGTACATTTTTTAAAGATTTGTTGAAAAAATGAGTCTGCTTTTTCTCGTTTTGTCTGTAAAACTGTCGAAACTCCTTTATAACCATGGATAGAGGGAAAAGGGTCTAGTTTAGTAGATTGTAGTCATCGACAAAGAGAAAGTGTTTTTCCTAAAACATTGGAAAGGGCTTGTTGTTTGTAACTCTAAATTCACTAGAATTTACTGTATTTAGAAGTGAGTGTGCTTTTGTTTAAGTATCAAGAGAACGAATCCAGTGGGTGATTTTTTCTAAGCCTTCACATATTTCAGGCAAATGAGTGGGTACAAAACTGAATTGTTCCGTCATGTTTTTCTTGTCACCTACTCTCACAGAGCCCCGAAAACGGCGAAAACGGCCGACCAATAAGAGTGCGAAAAACGTTCGTTATTTTGACCAATAAATTTGAGAAAGCTAGTATTTCTTTAATTTTACTCATATAGTATAGGTACTAATACAATATAATATTATAAACCGTGATAACACGAATGTTATATTGATTATATTAAATTTGTCTGTTTTTTTTTTTTTGGATTTTGGGGGGATGACTCCCTGCCCGCTCCCCCTAGAGTCGCCACTGGTAGGTTGGTATTAATACATTTTACATTTGTAACAATTAATTATTTTATTTATTTATTAAGATGCGTATTTTGTTAGAAATTGTATTATGGTTACAAAACCTTCTAACAATCTATCTCGTATTTCAGGACATGAACGACAGACTATCCTTGCGAAATAYCAACAACAGCCACACCAGCAACCCATCAACTTTAAAAAACAAGTCCAACACCGAAAAACCTACAATTATGCCAAACCCGAACCGTTCTCCACATGATTAGGATTAAAAAAAA